TTTATCATTATATACTGTCCCTCTTTATCTTTCTTTATCTGTTTTGTTTTGAAATCTACCTTGTCTGATATTAGTATAGCGACACCTGCTTTCTTTTGTTCATTATTAGCTTGGAGTATTGTTCTCCATCCCTTCACTCTGAGTCTGTGTTTGTCTTTGGGGCTGAGGTGTGTTTCCTGGAGGCAGCATATTGTTGGATCTTGTTCTTTGATCTATCCTGCCACTCTGTGTCTTTTGATTGGGGAGTTCAATCCATTTACATTTAGAGTGATTATTGAGACGTGGGGGCCTACCACTACCATTTTGTGTCTTGTTTTCCGGTTTTCTTCAGTTTCCTTTGTTTCTCGTCCCATGGTTTAATCTGTTCTGATGTAGAGCTGCTACTCTCTGTTGTTGTCCTTCTACTTATCTCCTCTGCTCTTGGTTTTGTAGCCCCTTTCCTTTTTTGGATTTTTCAGGAATGAGGGTTTTCCTGAGGATTTCCTGAAGAGGAGGTTTTGTGGCAATGAACTCCCTTAATTTTTGTTTATCTGGGAAAGTTTTTATTTCTCCATCGTATTTGAAGGATATTTTCGCTGGGTAGAGAATTCTCGGCTGTAGATTTTTGTCTTTCAGATTTTTGAATATATCATTCCACTCTCTTCTAGCCTGTAAAGTTTCTGCTGAGAAATCTGCTGATAGCCTGATGGGGGTTCCTTTGTAGGTAGTTTCTTTTGCCTGGCTGTCCTTAATATTTTCTCCTTGTCGTTGACTTTTGCTAGCTTCACTACTATATGCCGTGGAGTTGGTCTTTCTTGCATTGATAAAGTTTGGAGATCTATGGCTTCTGTCACCTGAAGATCCATCTCCCTCACCAGATTTGGGAAGTTCTTCAGCCATTATTTCTTTGAATAGGTTTTCTGCCCCTTTCTCCTTCTCTTCTCCCTCTGGTATACCTATAATCCTTACGTTGCATCTCCTAATTGTGTCTGATAATTCTCGGAGAGTTTCTTCATTTCTTTTAAGTCTTGCTTCTCTCTCCTCCTCTGCCTGCAACAATTCTATATTGCCATCTTCCAAAATTGCTAATTCTTTCCTCCATATTATCGGCCCTACTGTTCCAGAGCATCTAGATTTTTCTTAATCTCCTCTATGTGTTCTTCATTTCCAATATTTCTGTTTGGTTCTTCTTTATCGTATCAAACTCTTTTGTGACATAGCTCCTGAACTCGTTGAGTTGTCGGTCAGAATTCTCTCTTAACTCATTGAGATTTAATGATGGCTGTTTTGAAGTCATCATCATTTAGGTTATATATCTCATTTTCTTTGGGATTGTTTTCTGTGTATTTGTTACTTTCTTTCTGTTCTGGAGATTTAATGTATTTTTTCATATTGCTTGATGTGTTGATTTGTGCCTCCGCATGGAGATAGAGTTTAGTTGCTCCTTTCACTTGTTTCAGCTGCTGCGGTGGGGGAGCAGCTGTTTATACTCACCAACCAGGAACCCTGTCCGTAGTTGCTACTGGGCCTGGGCCCCTCTTCGTAGCCACAGTGGCCCTTTGGATTCCCTCCTCTGCCGTGGGGGCCGTCACAGGGGGGCTTCAGGCTGCAGGTGCCTACTGTTGTTGCCACCTAGATGCGCTCTCTCCTTGGGGTCTGCAACGGTGTTATGGGCTTTTCCAGCGGCCAGGGGTGGGATCACTTATATTTGTCGCCCGTTGCTGTCGGCACCCACCAAATCTCACTTGTCCTCTATGGGTCGCAGGAGAGCTATTGGCATTCTTCTACAGTCTGTGGTTAGTACACCTAGCTATGCTGCTTTTGCCCTGGGGTCTTCCAGCCTTGTGGCTGGCGGCTGCGGTGCCTTCTACTGGTGCTGTGCAGAGGCTTTCCCTAAGGCTGCTGTGAGCCTGTAGGGTTTCCCCCTAGGCTACTAAGCTGGGTCTCTGGAACTCTCTCCAGCCCCAGTTCCTCTCCGAGATCTCCGGCAATCCCTAGCCTCACGGGGTGGGCAACGGCAGCTGGGGGTCGCCCCGCCCTCTGGGATTCTCTCCGGGCCTCTCCGGAGCCCTGAATGCTGGCGTGGCCCCTTGCTTGGAGACAGAGAGTTTTGTCTTGCTGCCTGGCGGAGCTCCGGCGCTTCCCCTCCGGGTCGCCGAACTCGGCCTTTGAAAGTTCCCCCAGCCCCGGTCCTCTCCGAGATTCCGGCAATCCCTAGTCCACGGGGCGGGCAACGGCAGCTGGGAGACCTCCGTGCCCTCCGTGTCTCTCTCTGGGACCCTCCGGGCGCCCCGAGCACCAGGCTGGGTCTCTCCGCCAATGGCGGGGAGAGACTCTCCCCGCGGGCTCAGGTGTGCAACTCCAAAGTTTCCCTCTGCGTTTAGGAGTAATTGCGGGGGGTTTAGGTAGGGTTCTGGTCACCTGTTTCCACCGTCGCTCCTCTGTTGTGTTCTCGCTCCTGCCCTACATGTGTGTGGATCCTCTGGGGGTGTCCGTTGGAAGAAAGCCGCTTGCGGGTACTAGGCTGCCCGTCGGGGTCGGAGAGTTTTCACCTATTTCCACATCCTCCCGGAGGAAAGTCCATCCGCCTTCCGATGTATAGTCGCGTGGGTGTCTCAGACGTCCTGAGATGCTGTCTGGATATCCTTTGTCAAGCGATAAGTGTCCAAATAATTGTAGACTCGAAGGGCGAGAGACAAAGAGGACTACTCACGGCGCCATCTTGGCTCTCCCCCTAGTCCCCCTTATGACTTCTTTACATCAATTTGACACTTAATCATTCAGACAGATTGCATTATTTATAAGATTGAAATATACTGGAATAGGAAGTTTCTGAATTTGTGACACAGGCGGCTCTTGTTTGCTAATAATAGATGGGCTTTTAGCTAGCAGGTGGGATGATGAGAGTTTTTGTTTTATTTTTTAATATGTTTTGTTCTTGGGAGATTTATAATATAAATTTATAATGTAAATAATACCCCCCAACGTCACTATAGACAAAAATTAGTTTGAAGTGGATCATAGTGTTAAGCTAAATCTATATAGTTTCTAGAGGAAAAATAAAGTTATCTTCACAACCTTGCGTGTAGATAACAATTTCTTAGGACACAAGAAGCATGAAACATAAAAAAGTTGATTCATTAGTCCTTAACAAAATTACATCTTTTTTTTTTGAGTTCATGATAGTTTACATGGTTATGCAATTTCAGTTGTACATATTTCTTGTCTGTTGCCACACAAGTACCCCCCTTCACCCCCTGTGCCCATCCCCCACCCTCCTCCCCCCAGAATTATATCTTCTCATTAAAACTAAAACAAAAACCAAAAAGGCAAGCCGTGGGCAGTGAGAAAATATGTAATGTTAGATAAACTATATGAATGTTAAATTTCTAGAGTGCAATATTGATTATATGGGAGAATATCAGTCTTAGGAAGTATGTGCTGAAATGTTCACAGTACCTGTGTATGACCAAGGACTTGTATCCAGAATATATGAATAACTACAAATCAATAATAAAAACTAATAACCCAATTAAAAAAATGGCAAAGGTCTTGAATGGATACTTCACCAAAGAAGACATGTGAATGGCCAGTGCACACGTGAAAAGATGCTCAGTCTCATTGGTCATCAGGGAAATGCAAATTAAAATTACAAAGAGAGACCATTTCATACCTACAAGAATGGCTAAAACTAAAAAGAGTGATGGCAAATGTTGGCTGAGAATGTGGAGCAACTGGAACTCTTACCCATTGTTGCTGGGACTGTAAAATGTTACAACCACTTTGGAAGACTATTAGGCAATTTCTTATAAAGTTAGATCTACACTTGTCCTGTAACCCAACGATTCTACTCTTAGATCTTTATCCAACGGAATGAAAACATTTATCCACCAAAGGTTCATTCAGAATGTTTATAGCAGCTAAATTTATAACAGCCCCAAACTAGAAACAACGCAAGTGCACATCCACAGGTGGATAGAAAAACAAACTGGTACGTTTATGCAAAGGAATTTAGCAATAAAAATGAATGAACCAGTATACCCAACAACATTATGAACGTCAGAAACATTATGTTGAGCGAAAGAAGCCATGCTATTTATGTGAGGTTCAAGAATAGGCAGAATGAATCTTTGGTGACAGAAATCAGAATAGGTTGCTTATGGGGAAAGGGACATAAGAGAAATTTTTTATTTTCTGTATCTTGATTGGGGTAGTAGTTAGACCAGTGTAGATATTTATCAAAACTCATTGAGCTATACACTTAAAATCTGTATTTTATTGTATACAAATTTTACCTAATAAAGCAATCAAATTACAAACTGGCTTCTATTTTACCTAATGTCAGCACATTAGGTTTTTTATGCTCTGTTTCAGGGCTCTTGGACGCCACTAGGCACAGAAACTGTATGACTCAAACTACATGTACTGTGTACAAAAAGTAGAATTAAGAGAAGTCACACAGAAAAGCATATGAGAATTGCAACTTATGTAAATACAGATATCCACCTTTTTTTCCCCTTAAATCCTCTTCGGTTTACGTGAACATTCAAACATTCACAATAAAAATACATGATTTTTATCACATTAGCAGTTTTACAGTACACTCTTATTTGTTCTTTTTATATTACAACTGTCTGAATCAGTTAAGGCGAAAGTCCACGTTTCACAATCAGAAGACTGCCAACTTCAGTATTGTGTGACATGTGCTAGGTGAGGTGAAGCCAAACACAAAGTAGGTCTTCACCTTGGTTAAGTCCTTTTTCCGTGATTCAGTACCTCCCAGGCATTAATTCTCTGTGCCAACACGTTCACCCAAAGTGTTATTCTCAGTTTGAAGCACGCTCTTCGTCACAGTTCACTACATTCTTAGCTGTATAACTTGATAGCAGGAGAGTGGCTCTAGAAGTATAAGGGTGGTGGCACTAATTCTGTGCTATAATGGATTCTGAGATGTGTTTATTCCATGTGTGGTAACAGTTATTTTTGTCCAATATGTGTTTTTTTCCTAATCTTTGCTTTAGGCACAAACTCTCACAGTATGGAGGCAAGCTGATAAACACAAGATACCTCGAATCTGTTTTTTAAACAAGATGGACAAAACTGGAGCAAGGTATTTAAAGTGTGTTTCTTTGGCTTATCAAAGTAAGAATACAATTTGAGCTTTTAATAGACTATAACTTAAATTTAAAAATATCTATTCCCTGTAGAGTACAAATATTACAGGGAATCCCAATTCAATCCCATTTAAAAAAAATTTCAAAGCAGCTAATTCCTAGGTTTAGTCACTCTGTGGGATCAGTAGAGAGTTGCTAGATGGTGAGTCATCCTGATTCTAGTGTAGAGGGGCTGTATCCTGTTTTCTAGGCCCGGGACGGCGTGATGTGTTGCTGATGCCCTGGCTCTGTTTAGAGCTGCATGTACCGTACAGTCTTGCATTGCTCAGGGTTACAGGGCTCCCTATCATTGCTAAAGGTAGAGGGTAGAGGATTGTTTCCTGCAGTTTCCTCAAAGAACAATGCTCTTCCTTGTCCCCTGGTTTTCTTTAGCTCCTGGGTAATATGCTTTCAATAAAGGGGAAGTGGGAGAGGAGAACATAGATGTTTTAAGAAATGCTGGGGGCCGACCCCATGGCCGAGTGGTTAAGTTTTCGCGCTCCACTTCGGCGGCCCAGGGTTTCGCCGGTTCGGATCCTGGGCGTGGACGTGGCACCGCTCATCAAGCTATGCTGAGGTGGCGTCCCACATGCCACAACTAGAAGGACCCACAACTAAAAATACACAACCATGTACTAGGGGTCTTTGGGGAGAAAAAGGAAAAATAAAATCTTTAAAAAAAGAAATGCTGAGATATAGTGGTAATGCTCAGAGACTTAAAGAGTGCAAGCCAATTTTCTGAGAACAGAATTCCAAATTCAGAGAAACAAGAACATGAAGGATTTGGAGAAAATGTGAAAGGGAGTGACTCAAGAATATAAAGGATTCCGGGGAAATGTGATAGGGAGAGATCCTGGTCCGTGATGTGAGAGTGGCAAAAACAAAACATCAACTGTCCCTCCCCTAAATCATAGGATGCTTTGTGTTTGTGTAACTCTCTGCAGTAATTCAAAGGCTGCTGGTTTAAAGGACTTTTATCTTGATTGTTAAAAAGCACAATAACCTTTGAAATGTTCGAGGCTCAAGTTCCGACCCTTTTCTGTTTGGATTCCTTGCTGACTGACAGCACCTGTGATGCTGGGGAGGGAGATGCCTGACTACTAGGCTGCTTCTCAAAGACACTGGGACCAGGGCCGGCCCAGCGGCTCAGCAGTTAAGTTTGCATGTTCCGCTGTGGGGGCCTGGGGCTCGCTGGTTCGCATCCTGGGTGCGGACCTATGCACTGCCTGGCAAGCCCTGCTGTAGTAGGTGTCTCACATATAGAGTAGAGGAAGATGGGCATGGATGTGAGCTCAGGGCCAGTCTTCCTCAGCAAAAAGAGGATGGTTGGCAGCAAATGTTAGCTCAGGGCTAATCTTCCTCAGGAAAAAACCCCAAAAAACATTGGGACCAGAGTGATCTGCATGTATGTATGTATAAATCAGCCCATGTACCAAAGATGGCATGTGTGCCATTGGTAGCCAACCACAGTGTTAGCACAGAAGTAAACAGCACAGCATGTGATACTAAGAATGCCTAAGGGGCCGACCCAGTTGTGTAGTGGTTAAGTTTGTGAGTTCCACTTTGGTGGTCCAGGGTTCACAGGTTTGGATCCCAGGCATGGACCTAGCACCACTTGTGAAGCCATGGTGTGGCGGCATCCCACATATAGTAGAAGAAGATGGGCACAAATGTTAGCTCTCTGGCAATCTTCCTCAAGCAAAAAGAGGAAGATTGGCAACAGATGTTAGCTCAGGGTCAATCTTCCTCACCAAAAAAACAAAAAAAACCCACCTAATATAAAAGTATAGAAAAATTAGTCAGGCTGGCTCTTGGAAGAAAGCTGGTAGTCATGCGTGATAGCAAATGTAGTTGTTAGAAGAAAGAATGTTGACTTGCAAGCACAAATCTTGCATTTGAATCCTAACCACAATTTATTATCTGTGACCTTGATGAATTCATTTAACCTTAACCTCAAACTTTAGTTAAGTGAAGCTCACAAAAATAATACCCTAAATATCTGTGTGGCAGGATTATGGTAGATACTCAGTTACTATTATCTGAAATTGACATTAAAAGTTTATTCAAGGGCTGACCCTGTGGCACAGTGGTTACGTTCCATGTGCTTTGCTTTGGCGGCCCGGGTTTGTGGGTTCAGATCACAGGCATGGACCTACACCACTCGTCAGCCACACTGTGGCGATGACACACATGTAAAGTGGAGGAAGACTGGCACAGATGTTAGCTGAGGGCTAATCTTCCTCAGCAAAAAAAACAAAAACAAAGTTTATTCAAGGTGTCGTCTTATGGAAAACTGTTAAATGGTAAACATTAGGGACAATAAAAAGGGTTATAGTTCTAGAGAATATTATCAAACTTGTTTTAACTGTAATTATTTTGTTTTCTACAGTTTTAACTATGCAGTTGAAAGCATCAGAGAGAAGTTGAACGCAAAGCCTTTGGTTTTACAGGTTGGTTGATACAATTCGTTGATTAATAGGAATAGCTCCTTCTCATTTTCCTCATCAGTTTATTTCTTGTGACATATTATGTACATTTCTGAAGCTTTGTCACATCTTTTTTTGGAAGAAGTTGGGATAGGAATAAAAACAGGTGTAGATTAACGTAATAATGATAATAGATATTTTGGAGAAAGAAGTTTTATCACCAGTGCAGTTCTACTCGAGCGATTATTTAATAATGTTAATCTCACTCTGATTTCTAGTTACCAATTGGAGAAGCCAAAACTTTCAAAGGAGTGGTGGATGTAGTAAGTAAAGAAAAACTTCTTTGGAATGCCAACTCAGATGATGGAAAAGACTTTGAGAGAAAACCCCTCTTGGAAATGAGTGATCCTGAACTGCTGAAGAAGACGACTGAAGCAAGGAATGCCCTGATCGAACAAGTAAAACGAATGCTGGGAGTTTAAGATTGCATAAGCATTTAGAAACTTGAAAAAATGTTTTATTTATTGTAAAATTTTGCATAAAATTGGGGGCCGGCTCCGTGACCGAGTGGTTAAGTTCGCGCGCTCCGCTGCGGCGGCCCAGGGTTCGGATCCTGGGCGCAGACATGGCACCGCTCGTCAGGCCATGTTGAGGTGGCGTCCCACATCCCACAACTAGAAGGACCTGCAACTGAGATATACAACTACGTATGGGGGGGTTTGGGGTGATAAAGCAGAAAAAAAAAAGATTGGCAACAGTTGTTAGCTCAGGTGCCAATCTTTAAAAAAAAAAAAATCACATGGAATATATAAAGTGTAATGAATAATAAAATGAACACCAATGTATGCACAAACCCAGCTTAAGAAATAGAACATTGGGGCCGGCCCCGTGGCCGAGTGGTTAAGTTTGCACTCTGCTTTGGCAGCCCAGGATTTCGCTGCACGGACATGGCACGGCTCATCAGGCCACACTGAGGAGGTGTCCCACATGCCACAACTAGAAGGACCCATGACTGAAAACACACAACTATGTGCCGGGGGGCTTTGGGGAGAAAAAGGAAAAAGAAAATCTTTAAAAAAAAAAAAAAAGAAATAGAATATTAGCAGTACTCTTGAATCCCCATGTCCACTTCCTGTTCATCCCTCTCCCCTCCACTAATCATCTACCCCATCACTATCTTGATTGTAGTGTTTGTCTTTCATTTGCTTTCCTTTCTAGTTTACTACAAATGCCTGTATCCCTGAAGGACTTAGTTTTCCATGTTTTTGAACTTTACAGAATTGTAATGATACTGTTTGTATTTTATTACCGTGTTCAACATCATGTTGGAGATGTATCCATGTTAGTATGTGTGGTTGTACTTCATTTTCAATCTTTTTTTTTTCCTTAAAGATTGGCACCTGAGCTAAGAACTGTTGCCAATCTTCTTTTTTTTCCCCATGCTTTTTCTCTCCCAATCCCACCAGTACATAGTTGTATGTTTTTTTCTTTACTTGTGGGTCCTTCTAGTTGTGGCATGTGGGACGCCGCCACAACGTGGCCTGAGGAGCGGTGCCATGTCTGCACCCAGGATCCCAACTGGCGAAACCTTGGGCCACCGAAGGCGGAGCACGAGAAATTAAGCACTCGACCATAGGGCCGGCCCCCTTCATTTTCAATCTTGTACGGTGTTCCAGTATATGATTATACCACAATTTGTTGTCTAGTCTCCTGGGTAGGGACTTCGAGGTTGTTTCCTCTTTTTTGCTGTTACAAACAGTGTTGCTGTGAACATCTATCTATATATCTCCTTGTGCACCTGTGCAAGAATTCGTATAGGGTGAAACCTAGGAATGGAGTTGCTGAGTCAAAGGGTATGTCCATATTTTACTTTACCAGATGTTGAATTATTTAGAAAATTTTAAAACCATCAATTTTATAGTTAATATATGACTCTGGACCTCATCCACCCTCAAAATCTTAATGGAAAATAGCAAGATTGTTAATATTTATAATGTTGATAGGATATTTTTAGTATAGAGAGCAATAAGTAAAATATAACATTAAATAAAAACTCCCTGAATCTCAAACAGAAAAATATTTGTCTGAACCCTTTGATTTTTCACTTCTAAATTAAACTGTTCAAAATAGATCCTCTCATCATTAATTTTTTTCATTAGTGTTCTTTATATAGTGTTTACTTTTATTATTATTTTTTTTTATTTTTGAGGAAGATTAGCCCTGAGCTAACTACTGCCAATCCTCCTCTTTTTGCTGAGGAAGACTGGCCCTGAGCTAACATCCGTGCCCATCTTCCTCTACTTTATATGTGGGACGCCTACCACAGCATGGCTTGCCAAGCGGTGTCATGTCCGCACCCGGGATCCGGAACCAGCGAACCCTGGGCCGCCGAAGCGGAACATGCGCACCTAACTGCTCCGCCACCAGGCCGGCCCCTATAGTTCTTTTTGAAGTAATTATTTTCCACTGTAATACATAGTAATCATCACCTTTATCATTAACATAGTAGTGATCTTTGTTATTAGTGGATAATGCTTATTGGGGACCTACTGTGATCTAGCTTAAGTTCTTTACATGTGTTATTTAAGCCTTGCCACAACCTGTAGTATCCCCATGTTACAGGTGAGGAGACAGGCTCAGAGAAGTTGTCCTGAAGCTGGAAGGTGGCGGAGCCAGACTCTGCCCGGGGCTGCCTCAGTCTGGAGCTCCGGCTCTCGCCCCTGTGCTGTGCTGCTTCTCCAGGATGCGAGGGAGCATACTAAGAACAGAAGTGTAATCAGCGTTTATTAGTCAATCATGAGGGACATACTTGGTTCCTCTTTGAGGTCTTTTTGTTTTTGTTTTGTCTTTTACAAAAGAGCTGTCAGAATAAACCTAAGGAGGACTTTGTAATCTGGTTGAGGGGCCAGCATACACTTGCATATGTATTTCATTGTTCTAGGACGTGATACTGTGTAATGAAAATAAAGGAAAACTTCGAGAGTATCAGTAGGTAATAAAAGTGCTAATTACAAGGAATACATATGTATGTATAAAATTAGAGAATAAGACCACATTACACCCTTTAGGATAACTACTATCAAAAAACCAAAATCAGTGTTGCAAGGATGTGGAGAAATTGGAACTCCTGTGTACTGTTGGTGGGAATGAAAATGATACAGCCATTGTGGGAATAATATGGTGGTTCCTCAGAAAATTGAGAATAGAACTACCATATGACCCTGCAGTTCCACTTCTGGGTGTACATCCAAAAGAACTGAAAGCGGGGTCTCAAAGAGATATTTGTGCATCTTTGTTCATAGCAGCATGATTCATAAAAGCCAAAAGGTGGAAGCAATCCAAGGGTTCATCAACAGGTGAAAGGATAAAAATGTGGTGTGTGTATACACAATGGAATCTCATTCAGTCTTAAAAAGGAAGGAAATTCTGCCATATGCTACAACACAGATGAACCTTGAGGACATTATGGTATTGAAATAAGCCAATCACCGAAAGACAAACACTGTGTGATTCCATTTATATGAGGTATCTAGGGTAGTCAGAGTCATAGAGACGGGAAGAAGAACAGTTGTCAGGGGCTGGGAAAGGGGAGAGTGAGCGAGTTGTGTCATGGGTACACAGTTTTGTTTTTGTGAGATGAAAAAGTTCTGGAGATTAGTTCTACAACAGTGTGAATATACTTAACACTGCTGAACTGTTCCCTTAGAAATGGTTAAGATGGTAAATTTTATGTTCTATTTTACCACAATTAAAATTTGTTTTAAGTTAGAAAATAAGATTAGTATGGACTAGAATCAACTTCTTGTGTTCTAAAGGTGAACAGTGATAATAAATAATACTTCTTGTGTACTTACTGTATGTTCTGGAAGCATAATTTGAATTGGTTATTTAATCCTTACAACAGCCCTGTAAAGTAGGTAGGTACTAGTATCCAAGGCAAAGAGAGCTGCTGTCACTTGACCAGAGTTTTTGAACAAGTTAGTTAAGTAGGGGAGCCATTTCCAGGCAGCTTAACTCAGAAGCTGTGCTTAACCATCAGATTTGCTCTTCTCAGGAGGATGGTTAGGTACATTTCTGCTATAGTTAGCTGGTAAAAGTGTGTTTTTCTCACCAAGTTTGAATGTTTTGCTCCCTTGTACATTATAAACTTTTGAAACTTATTAATTTTATTGTCAGCTGAATTCTCCTATTTCATATAGGCAGATGATCATGAAAAGAACATCAACTAGATAATTGTATTTTTATTACTGAAATGCCTACAACCCCCAAATTAAATTTATTCCGTCAGTGCAGGATTACAAATAAGATTAGTTCTTTTGGTTTGACTGTCTTAGGAGACCTGGTGAACATTCAGAATATTTGAGAAACACCAGATGAAACTTTTTTTTTCTTTTTTTTTTTTATTGAGTTATTGATAGGTTACAATCTTGTGAAATTTCAATTGTACATTAATGTTTGTCAGTCATGTTGTAGGTGCACCACTTCACCCTTTGTGCCCACCCCCCACCCCACCTTTCCCCTGGTATCCACTAAACTGTTCTTGGTCCATAGTTTTAAATTCCTCATATGAGTGGAGTCATACACAGATTATCTTTCTCTTGCTTGCTTATTTCACTTAACATAATTCTCTCAAGGTCCATCCATGTTATTGCAAATGGAATGATCTTGTTCTGTTTTGCAGCTGAGTAGTATTCCATTGTATATATGTACCACATCTTCTTTATCCATTCGTCTGTTGATGGGCACTTAGGTTGCTTCCATGTCTTGGCTATTGTAAACAGTGCTGCAATAAACATTGGGGTGCACAGGACTTTTGGGATTGCTGACTTCAGGCTCTTTGGATAAATACCCAGTAGTAGGATGGCTGGATCGTACGGTAGTTCTATTTTTAGTTTTTTGAGGAATCTCCATACTGTTTTCCATAGTGGCTGCACCAGTTTGCCTTCCCACCAGCAGTGTATGAGGGTTCCTTTTTCTCTGCAACCTCTCCAACATTTGTTACTATTAGTTTTAGATATTTTTGTCATTCTAACGGGTGTAAGGTGATATCTTAGCGTAGTTTTGATTTGCATTTCCCTGATGATCAGCGATGATGAGCATCTTTTCATGTGCCTATTGGCCATCAGTATATCTTCTTTGGAGAAATGTCTGTTCATGTCTCCAGCCCATTTTTTGATTGGGTTGTTTGATGTTTTGTGATTGAGTTGTGAGAGTTCTTTATATATTATGGATATTAAGCCTTTGTCAGATATATGACTTGCAAATATTTTTTCCCAGTTAGTGGGTTGTTTTTTTGTTTCAATCCTGTTTTCATTTGCCTTGAAGAAGTTCTTTAATCTGATGAAGTCCCATTTGTTTATTCTTTCTATTGTTTCCCTTCTCTGAGAAGGCATGGTGTCCGAAAAGATCCTTTTAATACTGATGTCAAAGAGTGTACTGCCTACGTTTTCTTCCAGAAGCCTTATGGTTTCAGGTCTCACCTTTAGGTCTTTAATCCATTTTGAGTTTATTTTGGTGAATGGTGAAAAAGAATGGTCAATTTTCATTCTTTTACATGTGGCTTTCCAGTTTTCCCAGCACCATTTGTTGAAAAGACTTTCTTTTCTCCATTGTATGCCCTCAGCTCCTTTGTCAAAGATAAGCTGTCCATAGATGTGTGGTTTTATTTCTGGGCTTTCAATTTTGTTCCATTGATCTGTGCACCTGTTTTTGTACCAGTACCATGCTGTTTTGATTACTGTAGCTTTGTAGTATGTTTTGAAGTCAGGGATTGTGATGCCTCCCATTTTGTTCTTTTTTCTCAGGATTGCTTTAGCAATTCGGGGTCTTTTGTTGCCCCATATGAATTTTAGGATTCTTTGTTCTAATTCTGTAAAGAATGTCGTTGGGATTCTGATTGGGATGGCGTTGAATCTGTAGCTTGCTTTAGGTAGAATAGACATTTTAACTATGTTTATTCTTCCAATCCATGTACATGGAATGTCTTTCCATCTCCTTATGTCGTCATCCACTTCTCTCAGAAAGGCCTTGTAATTTTCATTATATAAGTCCTTCACTTCCTTAGTTAAATTTACCCCAAGGTATTTTATTCTTTTTGTTGCGATTGTGAATGGTATTGTATTCTTGAGTTCTTTTTCTGTTGGTTCATTACTGGAGTATAGAAATGCTACTGATTCATGCAAATTGATTTTATACCCTGCAACTTTGCTGTAGTTGTTGATTACTTCTAACAGTTTTCCAATGGATTCTTTGGGGTTTTCTATATATAAGATCATGTCGTCTGCAAACAGCGAGAGTTTCACTTCTTCCTTCCCTATTTGGATTCCTTTTATTCCTTTTTCTTGCCTGATTGCTCTGGCCAGGACCTCCAGTACTATGTTAATAAGAGCGGTGATAGAGGGCATCCTTGTCTTGTTCCTGTTTTCGGGGGGATGGGGTCAGATGAAACTTTTTTATGAACTAAGACACCCAGATTTATCTAAAAACAGCAGTTCACTGTATATATTATCGTTGGCTATATATTGTGCATTTTCTTGTATTTCTTTTGAGCACTCTGAGTAAATAACACTTTATTGAAATCCTTTATCTAGCTCTGGCTTCCCATGAATTTAGGAAACTCATAGTAGCATATCTTCAATTTTCAACCTCCTTTCCTTTCAAAGAAAAACTCTGTCTCTAGAAGATGTGAAGAGTTCCTTGGCCTGGGTAAGGGAGATCACGTAGGTGTTTTGGAACATTTGGATAATGTGTATTTATGGTATTTAGACTTAATAGCTGTGACAATAAATGCCAGTTATAGCTAAAGCCTTTCTTTACAGGTTGCAGACTTGGATGATGAATTTGCTGACTTGGTTTTAGGAGAATTTAGTGAAAATTTTGATTTGCTACCAGCTGAAAAGGTAAATTTTATTACTCGTTTACTTTTACCAAGTTTTACTAATTGAGTGTGGTTTGCATATTATTAGAAAATGCTTGCTTAAAAATTGGGGGAACATTAAGATAAAGTTACTGCTAATACAGGCACTTAAATAATGGCAGAGATTTACTATTCTCAGATATACTTTATAAAATTAGAAATTGAATCTTGTTTAATTATATTGAGTGAAGATAAGTTAATTCTTCATTCTCTGCAGCCTTTTCTCTCCTTTTTTTTTCTTTAAAGATTGGCACCTGAGCTAACAACTGTTGCCAATCTTTTTTTTTCTTCTTCTTCTTCTTCATCCCAAAGTCCCCAGTACATCATTGTATATTCTAGTTGTAGATGTCTCATTGTGCCTTGTGGGATGCTGCCTCAGCATGGCTTGAGCAGTGCTAGGTCCGTGCCCAGGATCCGAACTGGCGAAAACCTGGGCCACCGAAGCGGAGCACACAAACCCAACTGCTCGGCCGCGGGCCTGGCCCTGCAGCTTTTTCTCTTCATTGTCATCATTTCTCCTAAGTATTTTTAGGGAACTCACAGGTAGAAATTTTGTATTTAAAATTTACTGGTTTTTCAGACTACTACAATGATCGTTTTTCTCAGAACATTTTTTTTTAATCTGTTTTAATTTTTAGTGGAAACTCATTACAGTTCTGTTTTTTTTTCTTTTGGGATACATTAAACCAGAGAATAGGCAAGTGAAATACTGATAGTAATTGAATTTTGACAGATTTCTTCAAGGCCTTTCTGTTTTTTTCTGCCAGGGGTCTTCCTCATGAATTTGACAAATTTACTCTTTGTTTTCCTTTACGAAATGAGTTACCAAGTAAAGAGTTTTTAAATAGTAATATGTATAATGGAGTCCAGCAAATTCACTTAGTCATTTTTCACAAAAAGTATTAAAGAAAAACACGAGAACTGTAGATTAGTCTTGAGCCATTGGAACTTAGAGGTGGGAAAAAAAAGATTTTTTCTTTTGAATGAAATGCCATAATTTTTGAAATTTTTTATTGATTAGTATTTGAGTACTTAATTGTGATGTTTATTGTGCCCTATAGTCACATAACATGATTTCTATTTTCAAAGAGCTTGCAATCTGAAGTGGAGTTGACTGACCATTTCTCTTATCAAGAGTAAGCACACTCAAGCTTTTCTTGGTTTTTGAGGTCTTTTAAAAAATTTTTCTACATTGATCTCTCGTTTTCCTTTGGATTTTATGTAATGAGGATCTAATTCATTTGAAGAAACTGTTATTCATATTTATATTTTTAATTTATGACCAGTTCCTCTATTAAACTATCAAGGTTAAATCACAAGTATATTAATTCATTTATTCAAGAAAGATTTTTAAGCACCTACTTGTGTTAAGCACTTTTTTAGGCTCTGGAGATTCAGCAGTGTTTTCATGGGACTTACTCTGAAGCTCATAGCTCATATGGATTTTACATTCTAGTGGATGGGGAGACAGACAGTAAACTAATAAATATGTGTCTAATATGCCAGGTAATGATTAATGTTATAAAGAAAAAGAAAGAAGAATAAGACCATAAAGAATGATGGAGGGCCAGCCCCGTGGCTGAGTGGTTGAGTTCACCCGCTCTGCTTAGGTGGTCCAGCGTTCTGCTGGTTCGGATTTTGGGCATGGACATGGCACCGCTCATCAGGCCATGCTGAGGTGGTGTCCCACATAGCAAGCCAGAGGCACTCACAACTGGAATATACAACTATGTACTGGGGGGCTTTGGGGAGAAGAAGAAGGGGGAAAAAAAGGAATAATGGAAGTGTGCTGAGGAGTGCTGTTTTACCTGGTTGGTGAAGGAAGCATTCTCATTCTGAGATATTTTGACCAAGACCAGTATACTGCACAAAAAATACTTAAATTTATCTGTCTGCTTTGTAGCTCCAGACTGCAATACACAGAGTAACACTGGCTCAGACAGCAGTGCCGGTGCTTTGTGGAAGTGCCCTCAGAAACAAAGGGGTCCAGCCCCTGTTAGATGCTATTACCATGTACTTGCCTTCCCCTGAAGAGCGCAACTATGAATTCCTGTAAGTATGCCAGCACAGAGATTAAATCTTACAGCCTTGAGAAAGCAGACAGGCAAATAAGGTCTTGTTTCACTAAGAGTAGTTGAATCACCATTTTTGAATAACATTGGTGAAGGATATCATTATAAATAATATAGAGCCATAGTAACTTTTACTCTAAAGGGACATTTGTCATCATTTCTCGTAACCTGCTGTGTTTACAGATAGAGTTAAGAATGTGTGGCTTGGGGCCGACCCCGGGCCTGAGTGGTTAAGTTCACGTGCTCCACTTTGGCGGCCCGGAGTTTTGCCGGTTCGGATCCTGGGTACGGACATGGCACCGTTCATCAAGCCATGCAGAGGTGGCGTCTCACGTGCCACAACTAGAAGGACCCACAACTGAAAATACACAACTATGTACCGAGGGGCTTTGGGGAGAAAAAGAAAAAAAATCTTAAAAAAAACAAACAACGAATGTGTGGCTTTTTTGCTGTGTAAAAGTACAAGTGTTGACCCTGCTGTCTTAGTTGAAAAAATAAGGAGTGTACTGGGGCTGTTTGATAAATATTCTGTAGACAGAATTACATTTATTCTAGATATCAAGATTTTCCATATGCTCAAAGTATTTTTTGGCTGTAAAGAAATATTGTTGTTGTACTCCTGTTGTCACTAACGGCTTTGTACTTAGCAATACATCTTGTAAAATCTGAGTGAGCACTGTGTAAAACAGCAGGCAGAAGTGGGCTTCAGTCCTGTTAGCCAGGACGCTGATCACTGTCCACGTCTCCACTGGAGATGCGCTGTGGTGAAGTGCTCATAAGCCCGGGCTGTGTGCTGCCTGGATTCACACCTCAGCTCTTCCAAGTTGCTTACGCTCTCCCCTGCAAAATGCAGAGACTAGGACCTGTCTCATAGGATTGTTACAAGAACCAAAGGAGTTAACATTTGTAAAGCACGTAGGACAATGCCTAGTATATGGTAAGCTCTCTATGTGAGTGTTTGTCAAATAAAGGTAAAAATTGGAGGGAATAGGGATAAGATTGGACAAGTTCTGTAATAGAAGTGTCTAACCTACTTGGAGTCATAGACTCCTTTGAAACTAATGAAAATTAGAGCTTTTCCTCAGAAATTTGTACCTGTGCACAAAATTTGGCAATTTCAGGGAGATTCAGACTTTCCGAAGCCTATCAATGAACACCAATTTAAGGACGTCATTCTCTAAGAATGTTGACTGTGTAAACAAGTTCAAGTTTATAGTGTGGATTTGTATGGTTATGCAGCTGGAGAGAAAGTGGGAGGAGAGAGTAAAAGCAATAATTGGAAAGTACCTATTTGTTTACCCTGTACCGGTGTTTTGAGGAGTGATGTTGTGTTCCTAGGTGTAATTTTGGGGGAGGGAACACTTGGCAATGGAATTACTTGCAAATAGAGGTAATATTTGGAAGAGAATCCATTATTTTTAGTTTTAAGGAATTACTGGTAAGATCTCTATTAAATGGTCTAGTCCAGTGCAGGAAGAGAGATACATAGTCCTAACGCTGTTCAGTTGGCCCTGGGAGCCAGAAGATAGGAAGGATCTTTGGAGGACTTCAGGGTTAAGTTTGAGCAATGATCCTGATCTGATCTGGATAGATATATGGGAAGTGTATTTTAAAGGCTTTTCTGGAATGTTTCCTTAATTTTATAGGCAGTGGTATAAGGGCGACTTATGTGCACTGGCATTTAAAGTTCTCCATGACAAGCAGCGAGGACCACTGGTTTTTATGCGCATTTACTCAGGCATGCTGAAACCCCAGTTGGCTGTCCATAATATTAATGGAAACTGCACGTAAGTAGAAACTTAGGTTATTTTCTAAAACTGTGTTCATTTAAAAAAAATACTTTTACTAACATAAATCATGGTTTTACAGGGAGAGAATAAGTCGTCTGCTTTTGCCATTTGCTGACCAGCATATAGAAATCCCTTCACTGACTGCTGGTAACATTGCTTTGACTGTTGGGCTTAAACATGTAAGTGACTAGATAATTTCTCCAAGAAACAGCTTAAATATTTAATTAAAAGTAGGTATTATGTAATAGCAGAAACCCATGAACAATCCACATAATCATCAATAGTAGAATAATGAATATCATAGCGTTTTTATCAGCATGATTGAATCTCATACACTTAACAGAAAGAAAAGTTAATACAGAAGACTACAAACAGTATGGATAGTATTCATATGAAGTTCAAATCTAAGTAAAATAATACACTATTGATACGTATGTTTTAAGTTTATATAAAATATTGTGTTATTCCCATTGGGTTTTTTTCCTGTCGTGGTTATTGCAGACAGTTTAACCTTATAACCAATCAGGTAATGACTGAAAATATTTTGCCAATGAAGGCTCTGTTAGGGAAAGGATTTTTGTTTCTTTTGTTCTCTATCCTTAGTTCCTAGGTCAGTAGCAGGCACTCCGTGACTTTTGTAGGATGAATGAATGAAAATACTTGATGCTGTGTATGTTTTTTTTTTTTTTAAAGATTTTTTTTTTTTTTTCCTTTTTCTCCCCAAAGCCCCCCAGTACATAGTTGTATATTCTTTGTTGTGGGTCCTTCTAGTTGTGGCATGTGGGACGCTGCCTCAGCGTGGTTTGATGAGCAGTGCCATGTCTGCGCCCAGGATTCGAACCAACGAAACACTGGGCCGCCTGCAGCGGAGCGCGTGAACTTAACCACTCGGCCACGGGGCCAGCCCCGATGCTGTGTATGTTTTTGTTGGGTTAAAACTAAGGACATTTCACTTAAATGTGGATTAAGTCAAAGGCCGTTTCTCATTAAACTTTGGTGTATTTGGCATTTAGGATAAACATTGTTACTTTTCACATTTTAAGCTCTTTATGGTTAATTGCAAGATTCAAGATCCTTTAGTAGAACAGTCCCATGGTCTGGATGTTGGACCTCTAGCATCGAAGTGTCGTCTCTGTCTACCCAAAGGCAGGAGCTCCATGTGTGTATTTGAAGGAGTTACACAAATACATTTGGAGTATTACTTCATTAGGAATATCTTTACAGAGAAGGAAACTGGCACAGAACTTCATAATATAAAAGTTTAAAAATGAAATTATAGTTTTAAAAAGTAACGAGTCTACAAGGAAGCTATAATTTTGCATGGTCAAGGGTATTCTGGTTAATTGCATATTTTAGTTAATAGAGGATTTTCTGTAAAATAGTAATGAATTTTACTGGTGGTCAAACACTATAATGGACTTCTACCTGACCTGCCTTGACGTGATTAAAAATTGAGGAAGGTACATTTGTTTTGCCAAATGAATTAGGATGTGTATTGTGTGTGTGTGTGTGTGTATAGTTTATTGTTAGAATTTATTACAGCAGTATTTTGGATAGAATTCTCATACAAGTTAAATTAGCTTTATGCAAAGTTATAATGAGCTTTATGAAGCTTTCCTTTAAGTTCTATTGAAAAGAAAGTGCCACATTAAAATCTTTCTTGTTTCATGTTCTTGGTGGAAGCTGAGTGCTTGCCAACAGCCTGTTTTGTTCCCAGGCATCTTGTTTGCTTGCAGACTGCCACAGGAGACACCATTGTCTCATCCAAGTCCAGTGCATTGGCTGCAGCTCGTCGAGCTGAAAGGGAGGGAGAAAAGAAGCACAGACGAAACAGTGAAGCAGAGAGACTTTTATTGGCTGGGGTGGAGATTCCAGAACCTGTGTTCTTCTGTACCATAGAACCCCCTTCAATGGCTAAGCAGCCAGGTACAAAGAGTCTTTTATCAATTAATTAGTGCTCTGATAAAGATAAAATAGTTACGTTATACCCTCAAAAGATTGCTTTTGTGATTGAGTTCAGTTTTATCAGAATTTATTGCTAAGTATGTCTTGTGATTGGTCTAGTTTTTTCTTTAAGATGTTTTGATTTTTACAAACTCCTTTCATTTTTTTTTTTTTTGCTTATATCTTGGCCACTTTTCTCATATCATATTCTTCCTTATTGGAGATTGTATGGTGCTATGAGATTCTAAGTAATTGACCTCAGAACTGTCCTTGCAGTATATTAGATTTGACAGTGGCCAATTCATAACTGATTCTGTTTCTCATCACCATTTATAAAAACGCTGCTTTTCCTTGGTTGCTAGCTCTACCTTTAGAACTTATGAAGATATCTATATACTCTGGTTAATGAAGTTTGACATATTTGAGTGTTACATACTTCGTTCTTTAGCATACTTGCTCAGAATTCTTCAGTGGCTTCTCATTACTTTTAGCACAAACCCAAACTCCTTAGTATGGCATGTAAAGCTCATGATTCCAGTTTTATCATTTCCAATTAGATTTGGTTACATATAGCAGAAAACCCCCAAATAACAGCTGCTCTAGTGACAAAAGTTTATTTCTCTTGTAAAATATGCCTTGAGTTGGTAGCCTGGGGGTTAGCAGGTGGCTCCATGTCATCAGGCACCCAGCCTCCAGTCTTTCCCTGCTGCCTCTCTGAGTGCGTCGCTCCTGTCCTTAGTCATCTTGTGATGACTGCTGGAGTCGTGGGCATCACACTGGAGTACCTGACAGCAGAAAGGAGTAAGGGAGAGAAAGAAGATGTGCCACTTTCCCTTTTAAGATTTCTTCTGTGTTATTGGCTGTCACTTAGACATGTGGCCACCAGTTGCAAGGGAGTCTGGTAAATGCAGTCTTGTAGCCAGGGAGCAGCACAGAGTGGAAGGCTCCTAGCAGTCTCTGACATCAGCCTTCTTACCCGGCCTCATTTCTGGAAACTTCCTCCTTCATTCTGAATCCTCTTCTTTCTTCCAAGCAAAAATAACAAGAGAGTAACTACTCACACTTCTGCTGCTGTGGTAGAGTAGTTCTGATTTCCTGAAGATGCCGTGTTCTTTTGGCATTGCTGTTTCTTCTCATTTCTTCTCTCTTGGATTATGATGCACCACTGAACTTGTCTGCCTGTAAAATGTTTGCTCTTTCTTTGAGTCTCAGCTCAGTCATCACCTCTTTTTGAGGCCATCACTGAATTCCCGTTAGACTGTTTAAGGACAACGCTTCTAATTCCAGTGGTAACGTTAGAAGCCATTTTTTTCCTCTTGAAAAAAAATTGGACTCACGGATTATGGAAAAACAAAAACAACCTTTATTGCCTCCTCATGTCTCTTGAGTGCCTGGTGGGAAAGAAAGGAAAATTCCTAGCCAAGTAGGGGTTCCAGTTCCTCACCTCTCTGCCTGGAGTTCACATGAGAGAGCTCTGAGTACAGGTGGAAGACAGCCACCAAGTACTGAGGGAAGCTGGAGTCTTTTCTTGTCCAGTTGGTGAAAGAACAGTATTTAAATTAACGTAGAGCAGCGATTTTCTTGTTACCTTAAAATGCCTTGAGGCCAGCTAGGTGTGGTCTTGACTCAAAGGGAGAAGGGTCAGCTACCATGAATCTGGCTGCCCGGTTACATCAAGGTTATCCAAGCTAGTTATATCAAGGGGGGCCAGGCACTTAAGAGCAGGGGCTGCCCAGCAAAAGAAATGAGTTCTTTTAAATATATTTGAAAGTCATTTCATATATAGTCATTTCGAACATAGTATGGACACCTACATTCAGATTGTAGGATTGCAGTTAAATTGCACTATCCACTTTTAAATCTAAGACCTCAAGCCTTTAACTATTTTAGGAGAAAAAGTTTAGTGTCCAAAGAAAGTCTCATTCATGGGCATTAGCTTAGCGGTCATAGGCCCCAGAGGGGAGGGGACATCCAGAGCCTCCCTTGCCCAGACTTCTTTCAAGCCCATCTACATATTCTCTTTGCCGTGTGTCCATTGTGTTTACCCTAGAGATCTGTTAAAGTACTTCACACCCTGCATTATAATGCTGTTAAGTGTTTTCACCCCAGTAAACTCCTGAATGATAGAGTCTTTATAAATATTTTCGAATGAGTTTATTTTTCAGTAAAATTACTATCTTTTTATTCCAAAAGCCACAAAGTGTCATAAGCATCGTTACTTTCTTTGAGTATCTATAGGTACTTAAAAATAAAATAATGCCTAAAATAATGTCTCTTAGCCTTGAATACGCATATATATCTCTTGGGGTTCTTGTTAAATGCAGACTCTAATTCCGTCTGGAACCTGAGATTCTGCATTTCTGACAGGCTCCAAGTGATGCCAGTGTTGCTGGTCGTTGGACCCAACTTTGGGATATCAGGAGTCTAGAACAGCACTGTTCAATAGAAGTATAACATGATCCACATGTGTAATTTAAAATTTTCTTACAGCCACATTAAAAAAAAGTTAAACTGGAAAAGTTAATTTTAATATATTTTCCTTAACCCGGTATATCAAAAGTTATCATTTCAACGTGTAATCAATATAGAAAATTATTGAGCTATTTTACCTTTTTTTCATGTTAAGTCTTTGAAACCTCGTATGTCTTTTACACTTGTAGCACATGTCAATTTGGACTAGTAGTACCTACTACAGATGGCTAGTGGCTGTCATTTGGACAGTGTAGGTCTAGAAGTCCTGGTTTATATACCTAAGAACACTTTAAATGTATGCCTGAAAGGTTAGTTCACTAATCCCTTGCTCACCTCTTTTCTTCAGCTACAGTGTATGTCTGTGGAACTTCTAACATCTTTTATAAAGAAAGAGAGTATCCTTATCAGTTGATTGATTGTATTAAAGCATCCCTTTAGATGGCATATTTAATGCAAATAATATATTCTTATTTCCTCTTTGTGTGTGATAATTCATCATAGAGTAATCACATTAGCATCTCTATTCATGATGTAATTAAGCTTCCTTTTGCCAGTTTCTCATTATTGCCTGTTTCTGAAGGCATTTTGCTTTTTTGTCAGCTCCTAGATTGATCCTTGCAAAACATGATCAGATGATGTTACTGTCCCAGTTAAAACCCTTCAGTGGCTTCCCAGTGCAAATCAGACTTCACGGTGGCCTATGAGACCTTATGTGATGTCATCCCTGCCACACGTCTCCCTCCTCGTCTGCTACTGCTCTTCCTTTTGCCCACCAAAATGCAGCTACACTGACCTTCTGGTGGTTTTTCCAATAGCAAACCATTCTCCATAGCCATGTCCTCTGTCTGGAATTTTTTTTCTTCAGGATTTTGTCTACAAGGTCATTGTTTGTTGTGTCTTTACCTAAATCATCCTGGAGAGGCCTTTGCAGATCACCCAATTTCAAGTAGCCTTCCATCACTATCTTATCGCCTCATTTTATTCTCTATAAAACATTTGTGGCTGTTTGAAATTTTCTTTCTTAAAATTTGTTCACTTGTTCATCTGTTTTCCCCAGTGGAACATGTGGTCCATTATCTAAAAAATGACATGGAAAGATAACGTTATTGTTCATCCCCTAGATTTGGATCATGCATTGAAATGCCTCCATCGTGAAGATCCCAGTTTGAAAGTGAGGCTAGATCCTGACACTGGACAAGTAGGCATATTATTACTTAATACCAGAACTCTTTCAATAATAGCATTTTGTGTGTGTGAGAGAGAGAGAGAGAGTGTGTGTGTGAGTGTTTAAGTGCATATGTCTAAAACATTGATTGATCATGCCCCTGAAAGAAAAAGCTTTCCTTTTTGGCTCTCTCATAATACAAATTTCTGATTATTATATTGACTGTCAAGCTAAGTAGACAAATTCTCCTTAATTCCTCTATATAATCATACCTTCAACTACTCACCAACGTTTTGGCCTTTCAGAAGACAGCCTTTTGTGAAATTTTGAAATAAGGTTAAACCCAAGACAAAGCCTTGAGCCTCTTATGCTAAGGCTTATAAAGCAGCATACTAAAGGGAGAATGCAAAGGTGCTTTTAATGAGAGTAACACACATAAGATGGGTGTGAGGAGTGATAGATTATAATCTAACAATGTGGGAGGAAATAGAGTTCTAAAGTAGGTACAGAACTGTACCATATATTATAGCACAGCAGAAGAACAGATATTCATTTTGCAAATTCTTTTTAAGAAGGCAGGGTAAGGTTTATATAAGATTTCAGAAAAAGTTCCTTAAAAAGATTATACATTTGTCTTTAAAAAGGATAAACTGATTTAGTTAATCTGAAAAATATGGAGTACTTTTTTCCCAAATGCCAGCTAAATGAAATAGTAATTTAGTTTAATGGATCCTGAAGGCTACAACAAGAGCAATTAAAGCAGAAGCTTTTTAGTTTAAAAAACTTGTATTTAAAAATGCCAGTACATATTGTAAAAAAAATAGCAAATAGCACACAAGTGTACAAAGTAAGGAATTAAAGTCTCCCTTTCTGTCTCTCTATCCCATTCTATACGAGTAACTGCTGTGAAAGCTTGACTAGCCTTTCACACTTCCAGACATCCCTTCTGCTGTGCTATGTTATAAAGCACAGTATATTGTTTTCAAAATATTTATATACAGATATATATTATGACAAGTCATCCTGTTTGTATTATTCTATAACTTGCTTTTTTCCAAATAATTTACTTCTTTAGCTTTATATTGAAGTATACCAATTATACACCAAATAATTCTTTGTTGTTATTGTTCCTTTTAATTGCAGTTTTCAGTGAAAGGATACATATTAGAACCAGCCAAAGGAAAAGACACAAAGGGCAAAGTCTGGGAGATTATAAATGTGAGACTTTCTTCATCCTCTGGGACACGATAACCCCCTGACAAAGATATTGTAAACCAGGGAGGCTCATCTGAACCTTTGGTGTCCAGTGTTTTTACTGGGGCTCTGTCACATATTGCCTCTGTGGTTGACCTTTATTCTCCAGCACCTCCTGTAGATTTGTGCTGATACCTTTACCCTCCTGTCTGGGACTGATACGGCTATTCCAGAGCATCATAAATTACCTTGTTAGACTCTGTGGTGGACAGAGCCCCCAGACAAGCCAAGACACTTCTGCCAGGCAGCATCCTGGCCTAGAAGTAACTTCGCAGTAGCTGAGGGCAAGGGCCAGATCTCTCTTTGGGTGAAATTAATACTTCACTACACAGATGGCATATGAATAAGATGGAACAAATATGGTTCCCTGCACTATACTCTTTCTTGTACACAAAGATCTTCTTCAGGAATAACCGTTGTTCCTAAAAGAAAAAAATATGCATGTCTTGATTGGTTTTGATACATATTTGGCTGTTCTAACATGAGCCCAAAATAACATTAGTTCAAATAAGATAAAAGTCAATTTCTCTGTCACTTAAAGCTCCAAGCTAGTATGGAAGTTTTGGCTGCCCACAAAGCTGAAAAGTGCCCAGGATGGTGGGGAAATAGCCATGTGCTTGGGAATGTTTGGCAGAGAAGTTATTCCCCCATTCACAAGATGTTGCACTCATCCACATCTTTCGAGACAGTTGCATACATCGTCATTAAGAGAAGGGCTTTACTCTTTCCTTAAAGGCACAACCCAGAAGTTGCCAACATCAATTGTACTCATGTTCCATTGGCCAGAACTTAGCTATGTGGTTGGGAAGTGTACTCCTAGCTAGATGTCACTTGCCCAGGTGATAAGTCAACTATCATGGAATAAGGAGAGAATGGTCTAGTAATTTCTTCTAATTGATTTATTATTCCAATCAGAAAAGTTAAAAACAGTGTTTTGATGTGGGAGCCCAAAAAATTATAAAAGAAACTCAGTTTGTAATTAATGAAAAATAATATGTATTGATTTAGATAGTACTTTGTGATAAACATCATTTTTGCCTTGATCTTTATTTTCTTCCTCCTTTAACCAGACTGTCCTATGTGGAATGGGGGAGTTACATATTGAGATTATTCATGACCGAATCAAGAGGGAATATGGACTGGAAACCTATCTAGGGCCACTCCAGGTGGCGTACCGAGAGACCATCCTAAATTCAGTTCGTGCCACAGGTAAGGAATAAAACATTAAGAAAGAATTTGCTATTTTCGTTTCTTTCTCTCTCTCCAGGATCTGTTTTCTGAATCTCTTAGTTTAATTGCATAAAGCAGGGTTCACAGTCCCTGATGTCTTCCATCAGGGGGATGGGGTTTTTTTTTCTTATTGAGGCAACATTGGTTTCTAACATTATATAAGTTTCAGGTATACAACATTATAATTCAACATCTATATAAACTACAGCATGCTCACCACCCAAAGTCTAGTTTCTGTCCGTCACTGTACAGTTGATACCCTTTAGCCATTTCACCCACCTCCCGACCCCCTTCCTCTCTGGTAACCATCAATCTGTTTGTATCTATGAGTTTGTTTTGGTTTTGTTTTGTGTGTTTGTTTTTTATTCCACATATGAGTGAAACCATGCTGCCATGGGGACAGGTTTTATGTGTGTGTTTTCTTCTTTCTTAGGATTTTTTTGTTTTGTTTTAAACACAGCCCTATTTCATTACCACTCATTACATCTACTGGATGAGCCACTCATCAAGGAAATGTGCTTTTCAGTAGTCATGGGATGGAAGAAGCCATTGAAGTAGATGGCTGCTCCCAATCCTCATGACCAGAATGAGTGTAAAAATTCGAAGGTGATGTGTTATTTTTCTCTATAAAGTGAGTGGAAAATAATTTCCACTATTTAATAAATAGGTAATCCTATGCTGATGATCTTCTTGAGAAAGTTCAGTTTTTATATTTCTGCCCAAAATGTAAGAATTCATGATTTTTCTACAATGATTGTTTCAATTTGGTTCCCTTAAGTGAAAGAAAATGACCATTGCTGCTGTTCTCCCCAAGAAGAAGACATGGACAAGTTTGTGAAAAGTCTAGAGAAAAGATATTTAGGATAACCAGGTGCTTTTAAGCAACTGAGTGGTTTATAAAAAGGCCAAGTGGTTACTTTTCACTGAAAGTTGAAAAATTAAGCAAGCTGAATACAGGAGCAAGTGACATGAGGATTTCTGTTTCTGGACTTCATTTATGGAAAAACTAAAAATGCTGGGAAAATATAAAAACATCTTGTAAATAAATGTTTGAGCTGGTTAGAACACAATGGAAATTTCCAGAGGTTAAAAAGGAAGCTGGAGCAGGAATCTTGGAAAATAAGTCAACACCAAAGCCACTGGCTATTCTGGAGGAAACTGCAGTCACTTCTCACATAGTACTTGAGGACCACTTCCTCAGGGAAATAATTAACTAGGAAAGTCTTCTCCATAAAGGAAGAGGACAAGGAAATTTGTTTGGCGGGCTGTGGGGGCAAGGGGCAAAATTTCTGAGAATTTGTTAACCATAGACTTCTGATAGGATTTTCAGCCTAAATTCATAGAGCCAATATGACCTGAAAAACTCCAAATCAAGAAGAATTTAGTGTAAAGTGCTCATGGATTGGTAGTATTCCAGGGAACCTGGAGAAGACAAATGTTGGGCCTCTTGAGATAAATGTATCTTCAACCCAGGCCTCAAAGAAAATCTCCCAGATAAAGTAATGTGAACTTCGGGGCCGGCCCCATGGCGCTGCAGTTAAGTTCACACGTTCTGCTTCAGCAGCCTGGGGTTTGCAGGTTTGGATCCCAGGTGCAGACCTACGCACCGCTCGTCAAGCCATGCTGTGGTGGACATCCCACATATAAAGTAGAGGAAGATGGGCATGGATGTTAGCCCAGGGCCAGTCTTCCTCAGCAAAAAAAGAAGAGGAGGATTGATGGCAGATGTTAGCTCAGGGCTAATCTTCCTCAAAAGAAAAAAAAAATAATGTGAACTTACAAGAGAAAAAAGTGTTTTTAAATCATAAAACCATGAGAAAAGGCACAATGAGCAAAAAGGCAATAGAAACAAATGTCAGAGTTAGAATAGCAAAGCCTTCTGATATTGGACATATCAGATGCAGAATATAAAATAAGTATATTCTTTTGAAGAAATCAAAGAGAGCACAGAAAGCATTAGTAAGGAACAGAGTATCAAAAATAAGCAGGCAATGTAACATCATGTTATGTGAGAAAGAAAGGAAATGCTCAAAAAAATGATGGGGGCATGTCATATTGACACACAGGAACCAACTTGAAGAGGCTTCATCAGCCAAATGTGGATTAATGTGAACGCCAGAATAATGAAGTACAATAATTATAGACCAATGAGAAAAAGTAAGTATTCGTGTGTCCATACTGATAACAGATAAACAAATGGGAAGAAGAGCTGGTTCTTCCTTACACTGGAATGCCAGGTGCTGACTGTTAGATGTCATGCAGTGGGGTGGAGTAGGAAAACGGTCATTTTGCAACTATCCTGAATACTTAATATCAGGTACATTGTTGAGGAGCAGCATATTTGCATGGAATGAAGGTGTTTCCCCGTAGACTGCTTATTAGTTGCACGGTAAAAAACTAGTAACTAGATGCTGCAGCAGTCAGACCACACCTCGACTGTATGATCAAATCACTAATGATCGCACCTCACTAATGAGGAGCACGTTGACATTGTATTCATCCAGAAAAATTATAAAAATTTGCAGACGTTAGGAAAAGACCTAAGTTAAATGGAAAACCATGCTGTTCACAGACAAGAAGACTAAATATCATGAAGATACCAATGCTACCCAAAGATGTGCATTAGACATTAATACCTATTACAAAACCGTAGTCATTATGATACTGATCAAGCTAGGAATAGACACATACACCAGTGGAACAAACCAGAAAGCCTAGAAACAGATGCATACATATTTGGAAATGTGAGGCATATCAGAGTGATATTGCAGTTCAGTGGGAAGGGATGGACTGACTGAAGTAAATGGGCCTGGAATAATTATCCATATGGAAATAGATTTAGATTCCTACCCCATTCCATATACAAAAGTCAATTCCACGTCAATTGAAAACCTAAAAATAAAAGAAAAGTTGCTCAAAAGTATAGGGAAAATAAATGCTAATCTATGCAAAGAAAAAAACCTTCAAATTTTTGGAAGAAAATATATGATAATTATCTTACTAACTGGGATAGGGGAACACATAACACCAAAAGTTGAAGCCATGAACTAAAAGATTGCTAAGTTTGATGTTACTAAAATTAAGAATTTGTTTATTAGAACACACTGTAAAGAAAGCACAAAGACATACCAAAGTCTGAGACAAGATATTTGCATCATGTAAAACTGACAAAAGATTAGTATCCAGAATATATAAAGAACTTCTGAAGATCAGTAAAAACATGACAAACAACCAAGTAGAAAAGTGACCAAAAAAGATTGAACAGATATTTCACAAAGAAGGATGCCCAAAAGGTCCGTGAACATGTTAAAAGATTCTTCATCTCAGTGACGGTTAGGATCATGCAGGTTAAGATATGAGATACCATTTTACACCAACAAAATCTGACAGTGCCAAGAGCTGCTGAGATGTTGAGCAATGGAAACTCTTATAAAAAAAACTTCTGATGGGAGTGTAAATTATGTAACCAGCATGAAAACAATTTGGCAACTTTCCTGTGAAATTGACCACGTACAGACCTTACTACTCAGCATTTCCACTCCTTGGCATATGCCCTAGAGAAACTCTTATATGTATGCAAGAGACAGATGTGAGAATCTTAATAATAGCATTGTAATAAAAAAACTGTAAGCAAAAATAGCCCAAATATTTGTGGACAGAGAAGGGATGAATTGTACTGTGTTCATACAGTGGAATCCTACATAGCAGTGAAAAAGAGTGAACGACATCAACACGCTATGCCCCAATGCTCCACAAATGTGAAGCAAAAACGCAAGGTGCAGAGTACACACAATATACCCAATTCAGAACAAAGCAGAAGTCAACTATATTGTTTAGGGATACATGCATATGTGGTGTGACTCTGAAGAGAATCATAGCAATGATTAAATGTAACATCATAGTGGTGGTTTCAGAAGGCTTCTAGGTTACTTGGAATGTTTTGTTTCTTGTTTTAAGTTTCATGAATGTTCGTTTTATTTTTAGCTTATGTGTATATTTTTAAATATAAAGTCACAATATAAAAGTTAGCTTAGAAAGGGATTATTAAGAGGTTTTGTATACTGTAATTCTTAGTTCTGAATTTGGCGCATGAGTCACTGTGTTACATGGTCACTTGCATAAATAAATACAGCATAGTTTTGTTTTAGTAAAATATTGGAGATTGGTGACAGCTGCTGGTTGTTAGCAAATGAGATGTACTATTTTCAGTCTTAGAAAAAGACATTTCACTAGTTTTTTGGGAAAGGAATCATAAACATGAAATGCATAAAATATTACTTAAAGAATATATGAAATTTAACAGTTTGTGGGTTGGCAGGGTTAAAGCCTTTTAATTCTCGTTAGATAACCTTTTGTACTCTGTTTTGCTTTAAATAAAAATTTTGTCATTAAAAGAATTTCAATCACATAAGAGATGTTTCAAAAAGTTTAAAAGTGTGATCTGCATATCAGAATTTCTGTGATCATCTGCCTCGATGCATCTTAACACTGTAGCAATATTAATAGGTGATTCAGAGTGGCTTTTTAACGTTGATAAACACAGAAGCAGATGCTTTCTTGGTAGAACTGTTTACTCTGATATGTTTATACTATATTTAGTGCCATTGTTAATATTTTCTCCCACTTTATCTTCTATGAGACCTTGAACTTGTTGATTGTAATTTTGTCATTTGTGGCACCTTGACACCTTTCCAGAACAAATCTCTGAAGTGCTATATTCAATTTGTTTACAGATACCTTAGATAGAACTTTAGGAGACAAACGGCACCTTGTGACTGTGGAACTGGAAGCAAAGCCAATTGAAACAGCCTCTGTTAGGCCAGTTATCGAGTATGCTGACAGCGTTAGTGAAGACCTTCTGAAGGCCTCCCAGGAGGCCATTGAAAATGGAATCCACAGTGTGTGCCTCCAAGGTAAGGTACTCAAGTAAGAGTAGGCATTTGTATCACGCTGAACCATCGAATCACTCCTAACAGAGCAGGTTGTTTCAGTCTTTCTTTCTAACTTTGGGAGTGCTTTCTCCCTCTCTCTTCCCATTATGCATTTGTCACGCCTTTTTTTTTTTTTGAGGAAGATTAGCCCTGAGCTAACATCTGCTGCCAATCCTCCTCTTTTTGCTGAGGAAGACTGGCCCTGAGCTAACATCCGTGCCCATCTTCCTCTACTTTATATGTGGGACGCCTGCCACAGCAAGGCTTTAACCAAGTGGTGCCATGTCTGCACCCGGGATCTGAACCGGTGAACCCCGGGCCGCAGAAGCAGAACGTGCGCGCTTAACCGCTGTGCCACCTGGCCGTCCCTGTCGTGCCTTTTATGTTGTCCCACAGTCCTTGGATGTTCTGCTCTGTTTTTCCAGTCTTTCGTTCACTTTGCTTTTCAGTCTTGGAGGTTTCTACTGAGATATCCTCTGACTCAGATACTCTTCCCTCAGCCACGTCCAGTCTGCTTATAAGCCCATCAAAGGCATTATTCATTTCTGTTATGGTGGCTTTGATCTCAAGCATTCCTTTTTTATTCTTTCTTAGGATTTCTGTCTCTCTGCTTACATTCCCCATCTGTTCTTGCACACTGTCTCCTTTATCCATTAGAGCCCTTAGCATACTCATCTTCTTTGATTTAAATTCCCGGTCTGATCATTCCAACATCTCTGTCATGTCTGCTTCTGATGTGTGCTCTGTCTCTTCAGATGTGCTTTTGGCCTTTGAGTATGCTGTGTGATTTTTTCTTGGTAGCCAGACATGATGCGCCTGGTCAGAGGAACTGCTGCAGACGGGCCTTTAGTCACGTGGTGATGGGGGAGCACTCTGTCGTCCTCGGACTGGGTCTCTGTCTCAGGGAGCCTTTAGTCACGTGGTGGTGATGGGGGAGCACTCTGTAGTCCTCGGACTGGGTCTCTGTCTCAGGGAGCCTTTAGTCACGTGGTGGTGATGGGGGAGCACTCTGTAGTCCTCGGACTGGGTCTCTGTCTCAGGGAGCCTTTAGTCACGTGGTGATGGGGGAGCACTCTGTAGTCCTCGGACTGGGTCTCTGTCTCAGGGAGCCTGCGTCTCAGGACTGGGAACTGCGCAACTGTTTCTCAGGGTTCTTCTCCCCCCGTAGGTGGGGCAGGCTGGCCAGAGTGGGCTAGAGCTGGGCACTCCCCCCAGGTCAGTTAGGCTCTGGTTAACTCGTTCCCCCTGAAGGCAGGCCTTGTGAAGAACGAGTGCTCTGGAGTATTGCAGAGTGGTTTCACTTCCCCTCCCCCGGCCTGAAGCACAAGGGGATTTTTCTCTCCTGTTTACTGTGAGAACCTACTTGAGCTCCTAAAGGTAAATCTCACAAAATTGTAGGGCCTCCTCCGTGACTGCATGCCCCTGGAGTTGGTAACTCTCAGGCTTGTCCACCCTGAGCCTCCAGCAGTTCAGCAGAAAGTTCAGGTCTTCTTACCCCAGCACTGGTTCCCGGGCCCTTTCTGTTCACGAGTCCCTGCTCCAGGGAGCTGTGGCCCCGTGTTGGCCTGGCTGTCTCTGCAGCCTTAGGGGCAGTGGTTTGCCCTTTGTCGTCCCCTCTCTTAACAGATCCAAGAAGAGTTGTTTATTTTTCAGTCTGTTCTGCTTTTTACTGGTTGTTAGGACAGAGTGACAACTTCTAAGCTTCTTCTATGTGGAACTAGAAACCGGAAGTCCTCTCTCTATCTCTTTACACTTCTCACTTACTCCTCATTACATATTGAGTCCTAATAGATTGCAATTTTTTCCCTTTGCCTAGGACCATTGCTTGGATCCCCAATTCAAGATGTGGCGATTACTTTACATTCGCTGATGATCCATCCTGGTACCTCCACAACTATGATTTCTGCCTGTGTCTCAAGATGCCTACAAAAGGTATAGCACCGTCCTAATCGTTTTTGCTTTAAGGTGACTCTCCTGACAGGAGTGTGCCGCTGATCCACAGACAGCTGTGCTTTCAGTGCCTGACCTTGTGTTTCTGCCTCCTGAGCCTTATAGTTAACAAGAGCTTTTACCATAGACAATCTTTGATTTCTTAATCACCAGGGTTTTATTTGAAACAGGATCTAAGACATTACTGTTTAACACAGATTGCTGTGAAATATCCTCAGATTTTGGCAAATAGGCAACTTTCCTTAAGTGACATCTCTGCTTTCCCCATCCCAGACACCCAGCCGTTAGAGGCAACCTTGATAGGTTTGAGTAGAGGACACTTCTGGAGTCAGCTTAGCCCCAGATGGACTACAGTCTAAAGGACATTGAAGATCTAATATTGGTTCCACTTTTGGAGTTCATGTTTATTCAAATAAGATTACTTTAATCAGGGATCAACGCAATCAGATAAGTCTGCTGAATAACAGATACAGGATAAGCATCTTCCCTTCTCAAAGCATCAAGCAACTTGGTATTCTTGGTGTGGTTACCTGGGGGTATGTCCTTAAGTGTCTTGCCCCAGTAACCTACCAGAGCTGGACTAAACCCCAGGACCTCAGTGTGCTGAACGCTGATTCCATGCATTCTCCTCAGTGTGGAGATGCTCTAGTTTGGTAGGTGACTAATTTTGTGTTGAAACACTTACTTTTAAAATCATTTTCTAGGGAGCCGGCCCCATGGCCGAGTGGTTAAGTTCACGTGCTCTGCTGCAGTGACCCAGGTTTCACCAGTTTGGATCCTGGGCACAGACATGGCACTGCTCATCAGGCCATGCTGAGGCGGCATCCCACATGCCACAACTAGAAGGACCTAAAACTGAGAATATACAACTATGTACTGGGGGGCTTTGGGGAGAGAAAGGAATAAAATAAAATGTTTTAAAAAAAATTAAAAACAAACAAACAAAAAAACCATTTTCTAATATTTTGGACTGATTTTGGGACCTGATTTTCCATAGTCTTATTTGAATCCATAATTGTAAAGTGAATTTAAATACCCTAACCCCCTGACTTTAAAAAGCTGAAGTTAATGTCTCTTTCATGAGTTCAAATTCATACCTCTTAAAAAGTTTTTTGATTTAAAAAAAATGCTTTAAAAAAAATTATTTAAGGGGCCGACCCCATGGCCGAGTGTTTAAGTTCGTGCACTCTGCTTTGGCGGCCCAGGGTTTCGCTGGTTCAAATCCTGGCGCGGACGTGGCGCCATTCATCAGGCCATGCTGAGATGGCGTCCCACATGCCACAGCTAGAAGGAGCCACAGCTAAGAGTACACAGCTATGTACCGGGGGACTTTGGGAGAAAAAGGAAAAATAAAATCTTTAAAAAAAAAATTTATTTAAATACTGTTTGCCTAAGTGTATAGTTAGAAATATCACCTGTAAAGTAGTCACTATTAAATTGTTGAGAACATTTACTTTCCAGTAATTTTTAAAGTTTCTCCTCAAATTGGTTTTAGTTACCATTGAAATAATGGTAGCCTGAAAGAGGATATAATGTTTCTAAATTAACCCCAAGCTAGTATATTGGCCAGTCCTTCAAAATCTAATATGCCTTCTAAAATTAAAATCTCTAAGTATTTCTGAGTTGGTTAGCCTTTTTTGTCAGGACCATACTAGAGAACTAGAATTAACTTTATGGGGGCTTCCATTTAATCTTTAGTGTTAATTCATTACTTTAAATGAAATACTCCTAATGGAAGTACGCCCGCACTTGTTAAGCTTCATCTGGGGGCCAGCAGCCCTCCGCTTATGAGAAGTTAATGATTCTTCCTGTATTTATTGAGCCATCGTGTTGTGTTTGCAGCACACCGAGCACTGAGATGGACACAGATAGGATCCATACGTTTTTCTTGACCTAAAGGAGCTTATGGTTTAGAAGGGAATTAAATACAGCCAAACAGCCAAAATATTAGACAGAACAGACAGAGAACCATAATAATTGGGCAGGGTTTTTACAAAGAAGTTAATGTTTGAGCTATGATGATTTGGAGGATTTGGGCACAGTGGGCGGCGTTCCAGTCAGGGAGATTAAAGAGTCCCTCAGCTGTAGTGTAGTGTAGACGAAGGCTGGAGAGTAGTGAAAAACAGTGTGGGAAAAGTAAAACAGTGTCAGGCTATAGAGAAACCTTTAAAAACCACATTTAGGACTTTGAGGTTAGTTTTGAGAACAGTGGTGGATAATTTAAAGTTTTTCAAGAGGGCAGAATAATCCTTAGAATGCAGGAGGGATTGGCACAGGGAAGAGAGCTAGGTCAGGGAATGGCTGAGGTCTGCAGTAAGATACCGGCCCTGGGGAGGGACATCTTACAGCTTACCTGGAGAAAAGCAAGTCGCAGCCGCATGTCCAGGTGGACTGAAGACTAGTGACACCCTCACAGAAAGAGAGAGCAGGCAAGAGTGGGAAAGGAAATGACGAGCTCAGTTTGGGACATACTGGGTTGCTGTAGGACATTCAGACACTATGCCAAAGCAGGCAGACAGAGCACAGGGCTGGCACACTCAGAGACCGTGGGCTGGGTAGAGTTAAAACTTCTTGAGGAAGCTACATAGTTGTTTTTGCAATTAGGCGATGTTGCCAAGGAAGAGATTGTGAAGAGAAAAGAGGACTAAGGACAGACCCATGAGCACGGTATGTCTGGTTAGAGACAAAGAATTTACAACTAAATTCCTTAATTGTGGCATTTTCCTTAGTTTTTACCTTCTCCCACTCTGTTATTTTGTTTTGAAAGACATGTGAAGTGGCACAAAGCTCTTGGTAAGAACTACAAAAATACAGAGGCTATAAAGTTGGGTGCTGCTGTCACATTTCTTAATGTTTTCGTTCAGGAAGGACTATTAGATACATTTTCTGTATATAGATGAGTCATTTCAGCTGATAGTGATTTTAAAAGCTTAATCAGCTATGAAGAACTGAGAGATTATGTTTTACCATGTGTGCTGTTTTTTGAAATTTACGTGATAAAGAGAATATACTCTTGATTTTACTAATCTGGCCATTTTTCATGATTGTGAGGGTAAGGGGCAGGGGAGAAGGAGGAAGAGGTGAGGAATCAGGGACAAAGAGTTAGAGGCCTGGAACCATTTCTTGACAATAGAGGCAATGATCAAGTCACCGTCTAAGGCTTAGTACTAATGAGAAGTGAGCAGTGGGTGGGAACAGAAAAATGATCAGCCAAAGGCGAGGGCACATTCCAGAGCCCCAGCTCTTATTTGCTTGGTTTCCATTGCTGAATCTAAGTTTATTACAGCCCCCCTGATGACCAAGCAGAGGTTTAGACTCTCTAGGAAGTTGTTTTGTTACTTTTGAACTCTGGCAGGCTGGAGGAGTAAGATAGCTTTTAAAATCAAACCACCAGTGCTTATGGTGCTTGCAAACACCATCCAAAACCCACTTACCAATTTGTCTGATGTAACAATACCATTAAAGACGGTGTCTGACAGGGACCAATAAGTTTTCTTTACATTGCTGCTCCTCCCCCAGTTTTCTTCCACTCCTACTCGCCCTATGCTAGTTTAGCTTTTTTCGGCTTCCGCGTTCTTTTCTTTATGTGCTTGTTCTTCTTGGCCTTTGAAGCCTAAAATTCTGAAGAGATAACAATCCGTTTATTTTAAATAGAGGATGTGTTTCTACCACCTTATAGTGTTAAATTTATCTTTTTTTAGCTCTCCCCTTTACTTCCCTCCTTGACTGCCCTGACGTGTGCCATGGACTGTAACTGGAAACATCAGGAACAAAACAGGTTCAAATAGGAAGAACTAAGTCTTCGACTGAAAGGGGAAAACCATTTTCTTTGGCTGTGTCTCTGGGCACGTGTTCACAAGTGCTCCGTGTAACCAGGCTTTACTAAGCACCCCTCACAGCACACCCACAGCGATCTCAGCACTGTCACACGTGGACAAGCAAATATTGAAGTTTCTGAGTTTTGTAAGATGTTATCAGCACATCTTACATATAAATTGTTATTTATAACATATAATATAAATGTTACATCTATATCTATGTCTTTATAGAGAGTTAAAGTAGGCTATGTCTTTGCTAGAGCTCTCGGCTTAAGAGTGTGGGCAGTATTTCAGTATTATCTTCCTCTTTTTTTGGTGGAAATTTGATTTTTGGAAGAGAGGTTCACATTCTTTCATTTCTTCAGGCTCTGAAGAAAGCCGACAAGCAAGTTTTAGAGCCCTTGATGGGTCTTGAGGTTACAGTGACGAAAGATTACCTCAGCCCTGTCCTGGCAGATCTGGCACAAAGAAGAGGCAACATTCAGGAAATCCAGACTCGTCAGAACAACAAAGTTGTTATTGGATTTGTTCCATTAGCAGAAATCATGGTAGGTGCTTTGTGACTGAAAAGTACATATCCTTTTATAGGGAATATATATGCTGAGCGAAAAGAAACCATCAGTGCACCTGAAAGAAGCATCAGGGCTTTGATTTATGGGATGACTGTTAAGTTTCAACCCTTGGGAGCTGTTAGGACTTTGGATTTAAATTATTGGGGGAATCCAGGGGATTACAGCAGCACAGGGGTCGTTTCCAGGCCCCCACAGAGGTTGAGGTGTGCTGTACCAAGATGTGGCACCAGCCTGTATGACCATTGTTCCCTTCCCAGCACTTGGCCTCCCTGCACTGTTGCAGTTTTCAGGCAAGTGTCCTCCCTGCCAGCCTCTTCTGTCGAGGACAGGCCTGAGCGCCGGCAGAGCAGTATAAGGGCAGAGTGATCATAACACACGCTGGGACCAGGGAGAGCATCGGAAGCTTACCCACATTACTCTGTTTTCTGTTTTCCACAATATTTCTATCGTTTTTTCCTGAAAAATGGTTAAATGATCCATTTGAAGAAGGTGATATGGTTAAGTGACATGAGTAACATCACCACCTTTCCTGATAACGGTCCAAAGATAAGCAGCAGGAAGCAAAGCTTGGGCTGAAATTTGATGAGATAACTGACTTCTGTTATTTTGATTAGGGCTATTCAACTGTGCTTCGAACGCTAACGTCAGGCTCAGCTACTTTTGCCTTAGAACTGGCTAATTATCAAGCCATGAATCCTCAAGACCAGAGCACACTGCTGAGCCAGAGAAGAGGCTTCACCTAAGGGCTCGAGGTCCTTGGGGAGAAATTCAGGAGCACTTACCTGCTTTGTTTCAGTAAGAACAATTTTTATTTCTTTATTTATTGGACAAATACATTACTGTTTCAGTGCAAAGAACTAGATGAAAGATGTAACTTAAACTGACAGCACTGGAACTGTCCATTCTACTTTATTTTTTTTGATACAAAAATATTTCCCTTTAATAAAGATTTTCAAATGTCTTATATTTAAGGGGAAACAATTAAAATGCTGTGTAAACAGCCCATTAAATAAAGTTTTACTATTTATCTTTTAGATCATATAATTTTTCTTCAAAATCTGTACATATTCTTGTGATGCTCTCAAAAGTAGATCTTGAGTTAGATTTGACTCATCAGTGCTCTACAGAATTCAGATTCCAATTCTGCAGCATCTTTCTCTGGTTCTCCGGTTAGACGTTTCCCACCTCCTGCCGTCTCTTGGTACAGTGCGTCTCCATGCTGTTATTTGGAGGCCGCGGTCTTGAGGTAGGACTCGCTCGGTTTTCCCTTGGGGCCAAGATTCCTGCTGAGCACTGAACTGCTATTACGATTCCCAGCACAAGTGGTCCCAGGACTGGCCTCGTAGGCAGAGTGCTGGGTAAAGATCTGTTCTGCTGTGTCTCCAGGAGTTTGGTTCTGCTCTCTGCCAGCCTCTTCTTAGTCTCTTTAGTTTATTTGCCAATGATGTACAACTTTTAATTCTTCTAGATAGAGTTGCTTATAAGTTTCCAATGTTTTATTAGAATCTTCTTGAGAAATTTTCATTTTGGAGAGTTCAGATTCCAGATCTTTAATTTTGAGCTCCATGTGACTTCTTATTGAAGCATTATTATTCTCTCTTAACTGCTCTGAGTTTTCTTGAGCAGCTGCTTATGTCCGTAATAGATTGACTTCTTTTCATTTTTCTACTGTCTTGCTTTCTTCAGTCTCTCATTTATACTGTTCTGCTTGACCATGTTCTACCATGTTCATTTCTGTATGACTTTTGAGATTTACTACTTCTTGATCCAGCTTCTTTTTATTTTTGTCTAGTTTTTCACTTTTGCTTTCATGGATAATCCTATCAAAGAACTTGATTCTCTGCAGCCAGATGTACACATTTTGAAGATGCAGTTTCCAGTTTTGCTGTAAGAGCATCGGTACTATGTTTTAGCATTACTGTGAATATCCATTTCAATTTGATTGGTTTTTAAATCTCCATGGGAGCTATGCTCTCCATTTTCATTTAACTTCCTTCTTTTTTTTTTTTTTTGGTGAGGAGGATTGGCTCTGAGTTAACATCTGTTGCGAATCTTCTTCTTTTTGCTTGAGAAAGATTGTCCCTGAGCTAACGTCTGTGCCAGTCTTCCTCTACTTTATATGTGGGATGCCACCACAACATGGCTTGATGAGTAGTGTGTAGATCCACACCTGGGATACGAACCCTGGGCTGCCGAAGCAGAGCACACAAACACAAACTTAACCAACTACACCACTGGGCCAGCCCCCCTCTTGTCATTTTTAAGAGTTATTTCAATCCAGTAACCTTTTTCTAGTTCACCATTTCTCTTCATTTCTTGATCCAGACTGTATTCCAGAGATGGTTTTTACTCAATCAATTTAATTATTCCTTTTCATCCTCAAACTAACTTGTATCTAATAGCTTTTTCTGAAGCTGTTCCATTTTGCCTGCTTGCTCTTTGAGTGCAGCTTTTGACTTGAAACTGCATTTTCGATTTCAAGCTTTGCGTGGGATTGTGCATCTTCTCAGCACGTCTTACAGCCTCTGTGTGTCAGTCCTGGGCTTCTTATAGCTGCCTTCTGATTTGACCACATTTCTTCTTTAAATCCTGTGTCTCATCTTATAAATTATGATGATAACATGATGCAGCCTTTGGTGGAGCCTCTGACGCAGACTGCTTTCTGAGGGTGTCGGCCACTTCTTTTTGCAATTGTCTCAACTTTGACAGCTGCCTCTTTCTGCTTTCTCATTTGAGACAGATGCCTTCTTTCTTTTAAATGATTACATTCATCCATTAATTCCTTCTTTCTTTCTTTCAGCATAAGATCTTGTTTTTCACTTTTGGCTTTAAGTTTTTTGTTTTTACAATATCCTGAAACTGGTCTTGGTTATTAATTACTGTCTTGTCTTTACTATCAGCTTTCTTGGGAGCATCATCTAGTTACTGTCAAAGCAACATATTTTCATTTTGTAATTGAGAAGCTGTCTCTTCTAAGGATTCCTGCTTCCCACTATATGTATTCACTTTACCTTGTTACCCTGTTCAGTGTGTGTATGACTTTATATACAGGCACACCTCACTATTGTGCTTTGCAAACACTGCACTTTTTCACAAGACCCTCCACCAGCAAAAGGACTATGACTCGCTGATGGCTCAGATGATGGTTAGCTTTTTTTAGCAATAAAGTATTTTTTTAAGTATGTACATTGTCTTTTTAGACATAATGCTATTGCATACTTAATAGACTACAGTATAGTGTAAACATATGTACTGGGTGACTTGCTTTACTGTGGTGGTCTGGAATCAAACCTGTAGTATCTCTGATGTCTGCCTGAAATGAGAAGTGCGCTCTGACGTTGAGTTAATGTACCTGACCTATACTGTGTATCTACGAAATTATCACTCTCAGCAGTAAAGACTCAGCCCTTTGGAATATCACAAGTGTTTCTGAAGCTTCTTTCACAAGAGAGTAATGTATAATAAGATAGAGTTTCAATCAATAAAAAGATTTTATTTCTATACCAAATCTTACTTTACATGATTTCAAAATCAAGTTGACTGTAGTACAGATTGCCGCGGGCTTTTTTCCCCTCCCGTTTTTCTTCTTTGTTTCGGCTCGCTTTTACACTCTGTCCTCATGGTTACAATATCCAGTAAAAAGAGGTTCTGCTGCTACTCCGCGTCTGTAGAACAGATACAGTAGGCATAAAAGCTGTTTTCGTTTGCTATCACTCATCTCCATCTTAAAGAACTTAATAGCTTAAATCAGAACCACTCAACCATTACGTTATTTAAAAAAGATTGTTAAAGTGATTCAGGATGGAGTTGTAAGTTACACCAAAATTTAATATATTTATAAAACAGTTTTGAGTCCAAATATATTTTCTCCTTAATAGGTGGTATTGTCTTCCTACAAAAAATAGCTCCCAATTAAATCATTACTTCTTAGGTGACATGCATTTCTATTTGTAGCAAAAAAAATGCAAGAATCTAGCTAACACTAAATAAGGTTAAAGATCACCCAGGACTTAATAGTATCCTAGCTTGCTAGCTTGAAACAGATCCTTGTCTTACCTGACCATTCTGCAGCGGTGAACTGTTAGTCTCTTGTAGGCATCCTGTGAGCTTCTGACATCTTGACGACTCCAGAGTCTCTCACCAACAGCACTTGCCCGAGGCCTAAAATTTAAACCACATGTCCGCCCAAGCAGTTTAAATTCATATTTTCTTAAAGTAATATCTAAATCACATGCTTGCGGAAATTCCTAGTGCTTTCCTACTTGGATGGAGAAGGAAAGCTAAGGCATCTTAATTCAAATGTCATTAAATTCCATACCATAATCTTGGAGTGAGGTTAGTTGCATCCACATATTCTCCCCATAGACAAGCTTCTCCACCAATGACAAGTGTTTTCTGTTTTGAAGTACCTACATCAAATCATTGAATTGATAGAAGTTAAGCAGTCGCAGCTCAAGGCTTGTATACAGAGGCGATACTGATTTCTTCTTCTGTGTTTATCCTAGGACAGCATTTCTCTGCTCTAGTCAGCAGGACCCTGGGAGATGTTCATGGTTGTGGCCCCAAAAAAAGTGGCACACTTTATTCCCACCCGGACCCCGTGGTTCACACAGTGCTTATTAGCATATGTCAGCTAATGTGGTGGGCTAGTATTAAAGGTACCATTTTATTTGGTTTTTTTGCAAACTTATTTGGACTCCAGAAGCATTTTTCCCCCTGGTTGCCTCTGAATAGTGTGCTGGGAATAGAAGTTGGAATTAGTGACCACCACTCCTGCTTTCCATATCTACCTCTTGACATACTTACAAAGAGACTAAGCACCTAATGCTTTATTTTACAGTAATTGTGACTTTTTGATTCTCAGAATGTTTTCTAGAGAAAACAGTGATGTCAGTTCCTAATAGACTTATGGTTTTGAAACTTTTAACAGCAAAATCCTTTTTCTCAAAGGAAATTTTATAATAAAGTCTGGTGTACAAAACCGGACAAAGTAGGAACTTTTCCTCATAAAGGAGATCTGACAGCTTGAAGCTCCACCACTCAGACATCGCCTCCTTTGTCCCCTCCCCAAGGACGCCTACTCCTCAGAACCCTAAGACTGCACAGTGTGAAATCCACTGGTCGGGATTCAAGCCTTGCCTGGGTGTCTTACGGGGGAGGCAGTTCAGAAGAGGAGAGACAAGGGTCGTGCAAACATCTTTAAAATGTAGAGAGTGAGTAACAAGACAGTGAAAATGGAGACCAAATCTAAGGGAATCTACTTTTGAAGTTCTATTTAGGCAAGGTTATGGTTTCTTTTACAAAGTTTAAAATGATACTGAGCCCTTTCTTTTTAAGTAAATACAAAATCAAGGCTCAAATCTAAAAGGGAGGAGGGTTAGAGGGTAAGGATGTAGGTAAGGATTCCCAGTGGGCGGGTAGAGCAAATCCAGGTACTGATGGGTGCTTCACTTACCATCAAAATCAAGAGGTTCCACGTTATAGTACTTCACCCAGTCTTGTCCGTAACTAATGTAATCTAAGTACCACGGGGCAGAAAGGAGCACAGGGAAGCCTTCTGCTGTGACTCTGCTTTGTTCCTTAGCATAGTCCCCGTATTTCCACACTTGAACTACTACGCCCGGCTGGAGCTGTCAGAGTTACAAGTTGCAATAGACAGCATTAGTTCTAGCAAATACAGGAGATGAAATTAAGAGTCCAAGGCATTATCAAAATGACTTTCTAAGAGCCTTGAAAAAACATGTTTTCTTCCTTCCCCTTTCCCTCTAGTTAGTCCAAATATTCCTGGTTGTAGA